TTCTGCTGCTGGTCCGGGATTGTCCCCGACCTTGGGCACCAGTTACAGCCTGGACCACGAAGCCTGAATAACCCCACACCGCTCAGGGCCTCAGAAGTTAGAATGTTCACCTCCTCAAAGGGGGTGCCACTCCAAAGGCAGGGGTATCAGCCTACAAGCCAGGTCCAAGCAGGCCTCAGGTTTGAAGTCATTGACCCCTTTGACCAAGGGAGGCGAAACCAGGGAGGAAAGGAGGGTGCACACTGAACAGGTAGCAGGGGGAAGGCCTCGGTCTCCCACCTGGAATGGTTAGGAAGAGTTGTTATGAAGGCGCCCAGTACACACACACACAGAGACCTGAAGGCCTATAGAAAGAACCTGCCCGGCTCACTCACGCCCTTGGGGAAGTCAGCCTGTGTCTGCTTTCCCAGTGGGCCTCCGTTGAGGAGCTCAGGTGAGGAAGGAAAGCCAACATGGGTGCAGAGTATTCGAGTCCCAGGCCCAAGGGCCTGCAGAAAAACAGTGAAAGCCTTAGATTTGCAAAGTGCACACCGGGGTGTGTTGGCTTGTTTAGTTTCCTTCTTCCTTGGCAATGTCCCTAATCATTGGGGGGAAATGACAGCTGTTGCCCTGGGTTCAGGTTCTTGTCTGAACTGCCCTCCGACTCCTCAGCCTATGGTCCCTCGCTCCTTTACAGGAAATATGGACCGTCACCATTATGAGATGTTCACCAAATTTGGAGATGATGGGTTCCTTATTCACCTGGACAATGCCAGAGGGTAAGTGTCACCCATTCCTCCCGCCCAGCCGCAGCCCTTGCAGCTGCTGAGGGGCCCTGCAGTCGCCTTGCTTCTCCTCTACTCTGAGAGCGCTAGCCAAACAGATGGGAGCTTTGCATAGGGTTTTACTTGAGGGCTCACTCCCGGAGGCAGAGCACGTGGCTCATGCTCGGTGTCTGGCCCTCAGTAGTTGGTGAATAGATGAGATGACTGCTTAGGTTTAACATTTTTGGACATCTAGACAAAGGCTTTTGTGAGCTGATTGAGGACAGGGGCTGGAGGGGCAGCTGCCATGGGCCCTGACACTTTACCCTAAGCTGTGCTTTCAAAAGAAAGGCAGAGAAGAGAGAAAAAAGTGAGGAGGGAGGTCTGCTTGCCACTCACGAAATGCTGGTTCTCCTCTAGGTTTGGGCGACACTCCCATGACGAAATCTCCATCCTCTCGCCTCTCTCCCAGTGCTGCAGGTGAGCTTTCAGTTCAAGGGCACCATTGCGGCACTTTATCCTGCTCACAACCGCGTTCTGAGGCTCTTCCTGTTTCCATTGGTCTGGACGTGGGTGGGTGGAATGACAGGAATTACCAATATCTCCAAAGCTTTCATCTTTCAGCATGGGATGAATTAGGACCTTTTTTTTTTTTAAAACCTTTCACTAACTTTAATATTCAGCCCACTTTGGCAGAGCCTGTCTTTGATATGAGTAATCAGACCTTTGCTTCGCCTAGCACTCATAGAAGCTCATAAATATTACTACTTGACCACCATCTGAGTAAAATGCTGTCAGATGGAAAGGAAGCATGGCCTTCGCCTGGCCACCGTTTCTCTGGAGCATCTCCAACTACTTCTGGTCCTGGTCTCAGTAGGCTTGTGAAGTGTCCAGCCGCTCAGCTGCAGTCAGAGCTCATTAGAACGATGGGACTCACACATAGCAAAACCATCTCATTCCTTTCCAGCTGAAAAACGCAGAAGGAAGCCGGAATTTTCTTTATAGGTTTAGATGTGCTCCCCCCCTGCCTCCCTTCCTGAACAGGGCAAGCAGTTTATGACAGAAGTTGGACAATTAGGCTGCATCTGAGTCCAAGTCAGATTTCCACATGAAAAGAAATCACAATTCTAAAGTCAAGGTCAGTTCCACCTACCCCATTTTCACCCCTCGGATTCAAGAATCTCACACCAACAAGTAAAGTTGCCAAGAAACAACCTAGAGCTCCTGAGATGCCCAACTTCACCATTTCACAACTAGAAACCTCTTGCAGCTTTAAATGGCTTCTGATTCTCTTAGCAACGTGAGATGTGTACGGTCCAGCACCGCATTACAATTATTATAGTATAAATAGCTCAGCAGGCCTTTGACCAAAAGGCAATTGGAAAGGGCTGCGAAATATTGGGTCATCTTTTATTCACTCCCTTTTTACCTGATTTTCACTTAAATGTGCTTAAGAAGATATCGGGGGAGAGGCTCACATCAACAACAGTTTTTTGGGGGGAAAGTCAGTTCAGGATGAGCTCTTTTCTTTACGCTTACGTTTCCTATGACTGTGTCCTTCCAGGATAAAAAGGAAAACACTCTTGCACCTGCAGCTGCTGGCCCAAGCTGACTACAGGCTCAGTGACGTGATGCGGGAGTCACTGCTGGAGGACCAGCTCAGCCCCATCCTCACAGAGCCCCACCTCCTCGCCCTGGACCGGAGGCTCCAGGTCATCCTAAGGACCGTGGAGGGGTGCATAGCGGCCCACGGAGAGCAGAGTGTCGTAGCCAGTGGCCCAGCAGAACAGGCAGCCCCAGACTCGGGCCAGGCTAACCTGACAAGGTAGGGGCTGAACGAGCCCAACTGCAGAAACGACACCTGCAGCCACGGTGGACTCGAGTGCGGACCTCTGCGTCCTCATGTGCCCTGGACCAAGCTGGAGGCCCTGGGTTGTGAGCTCAGGGAGCAGGTAGGGCATTGGGACGGTCCTCAAAGAGCCAAAGTGGGACCCTGGCCTGCCTTCCTGGTGCACGGTTTCTCGAGTGGACTGACTGCCCTGGCTCCGCAGACCACCTCCTGAGCCCACTGGGAAATCTGGATGAATCCAAGGTCAGACTTGAAGGGTATGGAAGCCTTAATCCCAGAAGAGAGTATTGTTACAAATAAAATAAAAGGACATCAAGTGGACATCTAACTGACCTCCGGATCCTTATTGTATCTACGAGGGTAACTCCTAATCCAGACAAAAAACATCTATGACTTATCACAAGCAAATAAATATATCTAAAACTAACTCTCACATAGGTTCCAAGTAGACCTCACACTTTCTCCTTATATTCCATCACTGTGGCTCAACCCGAGGACAAGAATCAGTACTGACCGGTCCTCTAAAGTAATTTCTATGAAATGGCATTACAAGAGGTAAAAATAACAGGGATTTGCTCAGAATACCAGGAAAGGGATGTTTCAATCTAAAGACTATTTAAATATCAACTGAAATAACACAAGTATGACAAACTAGCATCCAACACAGGAGGGATTTTAGTGAAGGGACACAGGTGGTCTTGAAGGCGGGACAGCATAGGAGTGGGCCCAGCCGGTTCACGAGCTGGACTGAGGCTGGAGAAAGCCAGAGCCTAGTATAGCTCACCAACCAGTCTTTCCCAAGATCCAGAAGCTGTCCCCCGCCTGCCCCCAAGAGCAGCAGGGGCCACTGGAGAGCTCTGGCATGCTAGATGCCCTTCTCGGCTACTTTTTCAAAAAGGAGTCAATCTAAAGTTTATTTCCCAAACCTCCCTCAAAAGTGGGTATTTTGAGGATTCCGTGTCTCTTCTACCTTCTCCATCCTGACTTGCTGACACCTGAAACACCTGTATGAAGAGGCTGCTTCTTAGTCCATAATTCATGACTGAAAACACAAATGAGAGGGAAGTATTCATACTATAGAGCAGCCAGTCAGTCAACAAGTAAAAACTCCTGGTTCTATCTGGTCAACTCACAGATAAAGATCAAGACTAAAAAAGTCATCCAAGACTTCTGCAATGTGTCCAGACAGCCCCAATAAGGCACATGGCAAGGAATTTCTGCCCCACAGCACACTGCCCCTGAACCTGGTCTCCCTCACTCCCATCCGCTGAGCTCTTACCATGTGAGAATGAACACAGTTTCCAATCCTCCCAAACATAGAAGCCCCTGCTTCCAATTGCACAGCAAAGAAAAATTATGCTGAGATTAACAAAAATCACACAACTCCATGATTTAAATCTCAATTTCCAAAGTGCTCTTTCCACTGTAATACAGAAGCTCAAGAATCTCGCCCAGTTTATGAAGCTGCATTTCTTTACTTAAAGAAAAACAACTCTTTATTAGAGGAACGTTAACTTAAAGTAGAGACTTCCGCAGCCCAGGGCTTCCCACTTCATGAACTGTTTGCCTACTTCAGGCCGATAATTCCCTTTGGAGGAGGGACTGGGTAATTAACTCAGAAGGGAGAGAATGTTCAGGCAAAGACCTTGCAAGAGCAGCACAGTGGCCTGGAATTCCAAATGTAAGCTGCAGCTCCACCTCAGCCTTTCCAGGACGATGCATGGGTCCCAGTGGCCGACAGCACAAACTCAGGTGTACTTTACAGAGAGAACAGAATTTGACCGCAATGTGTAGATTACCCAGACCCCTAACTATCCCCTTATCTTAAACATTCCATTATGTTTGTACTAATAACAAAACCAAGACTCTACCGTTTGTCAAAAACAGTAGAAAATAAGACTCTTTTCTTAGAACTTTCAAGTTCCTGTAACATATTCATTTTGGACCATCGTTCAGCTTCCTGTGACACAAAATCCCCCCATCTCTAGGTAAAAAGTTGTTCTCATTACGGCTGACAGCAAACTAAAACGTGAAAGGGAATTCTACAGCACGTGACTTGTCAGAGAAAAGGCGTTTAGAGGACATTTGAGTTTAAAGATTGTAAAAAGTACAGCTGATTCTCTTATTCAGGACAGTTTAATGGTCTACAGAGTCACCACAGGCACTAAATTAATGGACACTGAACCATTTGCTCCTAGAGGAAATGAGGGTTTAGGTTTCCGTGAGTCTCTGGTTATTCTGTCAATCAATCAATACATAATCCTGCTTTACGTGTTAAGTGTGTTAAAGAAACCTTTATAGTACTGTTGATTCATTAACACTGAACTTGTGGCCAACAGCACTGTATGTAACTCATGCCTAAAAGAAGCTTACTTAATACACTTATTTTATTCATGAGGCACACCGCACACCTTGCACTTAGGAATGCTGGCTAGCACTACATTCGGGGCCATTTTAAACAGCGAAATCACCAATAGAACGCACAAAAATGCAAAAAAAGGGGCACTAAATACCGTAGAGCATGAAAAAGACATCTGATAATAGTATGAAGGCAAATGAAAAGCAGAGCGCCGCCTTGTTCCACCTGGGCGCATGCAGGGCGACTCGCTCTTCGCCGCGTGTGCCTGGAAATAACTGAAGGGCTGCAAGTATTGATTTGGGGGTTACACAAAATTCACAAGCACAGTATCTGTAAATGAGAATCAACTGTAACTCACTTTGAGATTAACCAAGATGCCAAGAAAGCTCTCCATCTAGTGGTGACTTTTAAAATCACAAAACTATCAAGCTAAATTGGCAGGACTTTCACAAAATGAAGACTTATATTCAATAGCGGTTGTGGTACAGTGGCAACAGAATAGAGTTGAGTCACAGCTCTGCACTTATGTCGGTAAGCACATTTGAACTCTACAAGTACACAACAATACTGATTTCCATGTAAAAGTTCCATAGAGTAAGAAGAGAGATTATGATGCCCCCTTTTAAATTCTATTTACAGCCTTTACTGATAACTATTATGATAGCTACCTTGGGGGACATATTAAATGGTGACCTAGCCATTGTTTCTCAAGGTTGTTTTACAAAAAGGGATCAGCTATTAATTTGTGGCTGGAGATGCAGCAGTATTAAGAAAACCGACATCATGCTACTTCAATTTTAAAATGTTGGTATTTGAGTCATTAAAAAGAGAAACCAATTCTATATCAGCCAATGTTTTAGAGGAGAATTAAACTATAACCAGTACAGTCAACCTAGAAACATTAAAAAATATACATATATACCTATACCTATCTCTTTCTCTCTATATATATATGTTTTAAGCCCAGCCAGTGTGGTTCAGTGGTTGGGCATTAACCTATATGAGCCAGGAGGTTGAGGTTCGATTCCCAGTCAAGGCACATGCCCCGGTTGTGGGCTCAATCCCGTGTGGGGCCTGCAGCAGGCAGCTGATCAGTGATTTTCTCATTACTGATGTTTCTGTCTCTCATTCCCTCTCTCTTCCTCTATGAAATCAACAAAAATATATTTAAATGTTTGTTTTTACTGATTTTAGAGAGGGAGAGAGAGAAACATCAAAGTGCGAGAGAAATATTGATCAGCTGCCTCCTGCACGCCCTTTACGGGGACAGAACCCCAGCATGTGCCCAGATAGGAAATCAAACCAGACCTTTTGGCAGATGGGAGGACACTCAACTGAGCCACACTGGCCAGGGCAACCTAAGGAACATGTTTAGCTGTACTCTGTTGTAACTCTAAAGGTTCCACTCTAGTAAACTGATGGAAGGGATTACTGAATTTGGACGAGATGATTCAAAGCAGTGCTAATTAAAGGATGACCTAGAATACAACACACCTCCAACTCATCGGACATAAAGAAATTAATAACAATATACCGAGCACAACTTAATTAAGTCACTCCTCATAAATAAAACTTTATGTATGCAAAATATATAAACAGACCTCAATATCTAAGTAGCTATTAAATTTAACCAAGGTGAGTATGCTGACCAGAAATAATGTTTCCCTGTTAAGTCTGGGCAAGTTCCAAAGTCAGAGAACCAGTCTTCAATGAAAAGGAAAGGTCCCACTTCTGATTTAATCCTTCCTTCCAATACTCTATGAACAGACCTGCTATATCTCAATTACCCTTTAAGCAAGGTTTTCAGATTCATTCTTTGACAAGCTGACTTCGAAACCACTGAAAACAAACACATGACCCTTTCCAAACACTAATTCCATAGTTCACTTGTGATTTTCATTCTTGCCAATCAGATTTGGAGATTCCAAAGGGAGAAGGGGAGGACGAAGGGAAGAAAAGGGAAGAGAAGGACGAAGGGAAGAAAAACGGATTCATTTAAGAATTTAAATTATTGAATCTTTTTTATTACTTGACCTACCATTAAGACAATCTATAACAAAAAGAATAGAGTATATTAGCACACACAGTATAATCAGACTAGTAACCAGGAAACAATACAAAATGGTCCTTTGGCCATCTATACTTTCTAGAGCAATAGATCTGAGAAATTCACTTACCAAGTCCAGAAATGATGACTTCTAAAGTCTTGATTATCAACTAAGACAAACTATGCCATCGTGATATCTCACATATACTCAGATTGCACAAAGATAAAGCTTTAAATGTATTAATTTTTAAATTTAGACTTAAAATTTCTTAGATTAAAAACTACAAAAGGGAGTAAACAGCAAGCCAAATTATTTAAGAGCAAAATTCATTTAGGAAGCATTATATGTGAACATGATTATTATATACAGATATGAAACTGCAATTTATGGCATTCTAAATAATTCACTGAAGTACAGTTTTGGCATTTAAACAAAGATCAAATCAAGTTTTACGCTAATAAGAATGTAATTTTTATTTTTAATTTTTTAAATATAAAAGGTAGCTAAACACAACATATAGATCAGAAACCCTCACTTAATACAGATTTTGAAACACAAAAAATTTGTAATAAGGTGGCTTTCTATCCCACACTAAAAGGTAAATAAAACCTCTTTCCCAGATTTATACTTCAAACTTAGTAACAACCTAAAAACTGCTCAAATCTATCAAAAATTCTACCATGACCAATTTGCCTTTTAAATGGCCTGGGAAAGGGTGGGAGAAAGGATTAGTAATCAGAGCCAGTTGCATACAAATGGAAAAATGCTTGCAGTCACTCCCAAGTATAACCCTACATTACATATAAATCACAATGAAAATAAAAGTGCCCACATTACAGAACTGTGAGATTTTGTTTAAAAAAATAACATAATAAAAATAAACTGTTGGGTATCATTGGTGCACATGGAATAATGTAACAC